ATTTCGCTCGAACGACATTAATCAGCTACAGGCCATCAGGTAACTATCATGAGGATAGTTAAACCTCCGCCCATCATAATTCAGGATCGCTCAGCAATCACAAATTGCGTTTACTGTAACCAGTTCATCGTATGCGAAATTTGATTTGGTGCAAATGCGAGTGCTTGGTTACCATCGTACTACTGTCGTTACAGCGTTTCGATCCAATCCTGTGTTTGCTCGCAGTGCTTTGGTGCATACATGTTCGATACGCAATGTACTGTACCTTTTTCAAACGATATTTACTGTAAATCACAGCGAACAATCGGTTCAAGTAGTCTTCCTACCGGTACCTTCCGCTAATCAGTTATGAGTGTGATCTGCCCGGTTTAACTCCGCAGTCAATTGCTTCGAGGTGGCCAGCAACACCGAGGGAGATGGAGAGCGTGGAGAACCGGGTGCCAAGGGGAAGAAGAAGCTGCGTTGTGACTACGCGCACACCATCTTGCGCGATGACAAGAAACGCCGCGTGTCGACGCGCACCAAGGCTCGCTACTCGGCGTTGACGAGACTGGTGTCACCGACCTCGAACACGGTCGATCGACTGTTCTCGACGTGCAAGTTGATCATGACGCCACAACGCAACTGCATGCTGCCGTTTCACATCCTGGGATCAGCTGTGTGAACAGCTCCGAGCCGCGTTCCTCCCGGCGAACTACGAGTACCTCCAGCGTTCGCGCTTCCTCTCGTGCAGACAAGGGAGGCGTGAGCTGCACGAGTACGTGCAAGAGATACGGGAGCTAACGGCGTCCCTAGTGGGAAACCCACTCAACGAACATGCAGTTTTCCATCTCTATCGCCTTTGTCTGTGTCACAGTGAAATACTAGAGCAAATACTCGTCAGTCTTAAGGCCTACTGCTGTTCTAGAACCTGACCGAATTAGAGCCCTCGGTTCACAGAGGGTAAGGTGACTAGAAACGTACTTAAGTGGAAATAATCATAAAATATCATCTGGTATTTATATTTTTCAAATTTCTGAGTAAATTTTAAAATATTATGCTAGCTTTTGAAAAAATGAGTTATTATTAATATTTAATACCAAAAATAGTACTATTACTGTCAAACATATCAGATGATATTTGGTTACCATTAGCCAGCGTAATCTCGCTAGACGCATAATCAATGACAAATCCTTTCACAACGACAGAGAATCAATTGCAAGGGAAACAAACATATAAAGCTTTTTTCCGTATAGCACCTGACAAAGGTCAGTATCAGATAAAGCAGGGTATAGAGTCAGTAAGTATTCTTGTACCGGTAGCTTTGAGAACGCTTTGGCATAAGAGCGCTAGGATGTCATGTGGCGCACTGTAGACTCTACAGTAGAGAGCAGCACATTCAATTAGTTATCACCACCGACACAATGAACAGAAGTACGAAGGCGTCTCGTAGACCGACGAGGGGTCGTAAGCGAGTAAGCGATGTACCCTACTCGACGGAGCTTCTGCGTCGCAAGCGCGTCGAGGCCCAAACTCTTCTGCTGGAAGTGCAAACATTGAGCACTCATCTCGCTACACTACAAGAGGTGCGGCGTCATCAGATCAACGCCGTCTCTACCACAACAAAAGGTTCTTCTGTATCAGTGACGCAATGGCGAGGCGAAGCAGCGATTGAGAGCGAGAAGCGATGTCGAGCTGAAAAACTCAATCGAGAGTTGAAGGTATTACTAGCGGAGCAGATGAAGCTTCGAGGTCCCATACTCAAGGCGTTAGAGAAGACCGACGCGCTCCAGGTACAAAGCTCAAGCTTGTAAAGGACCTTCCTTGGTGCTCACAGTGTTTATGTGTTTTTGCCCCAGGGTCTTGAATTTGTTTTGCAACTTCAGCCGAAAATTCAACGTTCGCTATGCGAGCCAAACTTCAGTGAACTCGTGCTTAACGAGATGTCGAGTAACTTGGATTGGCTTCGCCTCGATACCGACAGCATGTTGCCAGTCGTGGACGACGGTACTAACGTGTCCTTTCGGTGGCAACACGTTCCTATAAGGAACTGCATCCTGTCGAGTTCAGTCACACCTGTACGTTGTGCGGCAGAGCAGTTGGGGGAAATGCTGTGGCGACACGCTTCGAACACGAAGAAGGCTACGGACACGTCTTTGCGCTATGTACGTATGTATATAGGATTGTGGATCTCAATGGATGGCGACTAACGAATTCGGTCACGTGCAGATACGTCGAAAGACGCCTACTCCTCTTGATATGAACGCCGAAGCTTCGATTGTAGAAGGTCAGTTATGCAACAATGCCGTGGCCACCTTCCGAAAGTACGACGAAGGTGACCGCATCATTCTGGTGGGGACAACCAAGTGGTTTCGTCCTAGCGGTGAGCTTCTTTTACAAGACTACAACTGGACGGTCATTTCTCAGTCGCCTATTACCCCACTGGAAGCGTGTGTGGCTCGACACTGCTACAAACTCGAGATGACTGCGACTTCTTCCATTGAAGCATCTCGAGCACAAAAGCTCCTGTTCCATATTGTCAGTAGCAAGATGCGATGCTTATATCAGGATATGCAAGACGTCCTTCTTAATAGCGTTGATCTTGTGCAAGATGCCTCATGACTGATTTAACCGTAATATCAAGTTCATGTTTGCGGTGTCAGAAAGTGGAACCTAATAGCCTGTGGTATACTGGTACACTGTCTACGGTGGTACTACTGTACAGTACTAGCCGAGCGCCGCCGCTACGCGGCGGTAATTTAGGTTTTACTCTAGATTTTTGCCTTCCCGCCTTCGCTTCGCTTTGGCGGGATAATTAGTCCAAATCCTCTGAGTCCCCCATGTGCCTAAATCGACTTCTTTAATTTCATAAATCTGCGTTTCTTTTGCTACAAATTGCTGAGCTCCCAGTAAGCCGTGTAAATATTTCTACCGGTACAAAAGACTGAGACCCTAGCATCATACTTACCATGCTCATAAACGATTACGCTAGTGATCTTGGCAAAGTCTCTTTGTTGTTGTTGGCGATCACTGTACCCTAATCTTCCACCCAGAAGCACCTGCACTTCAGTCTACAAACGCTAAATAATATATTTAGTTTAGCGTCGTGATCGATTTCACGGGCCGTTTCTGAAACCTAGATTGCAACAATGCAAAGAATATCTGTCCAGCTTGCATCTGGTTAAGCTTGTAATAAACTGCCTATTAACCACTTCGCAAACCAAACTCGCTACTTTGAAAGAAAATTAAAAGTGTTACAGTTTGAATATTTAATAAAAATATTCAAGCTGTAGCATTTTTTTATGCCTTGAAGTGTGTTCATTTTGTGCTGATTCAGAATTAGTCATTAGACACTCCAATCTGTGCCTGTTATGGTTATAGCCTTTGAATATAACCATGCGTCGCAAGACGCCTTGCTGTTGTTGTTGTTGACGGCGGTATTTTTATTTGATACTTAATTGATGATTCCAAAATATTAGGCTCTAAGTTGATTAACGTTTCTTTACGGGCCTACTTATAATAACCAAAATTGACACCTCTCATGTTGTGCTGTTATCTTACCACTGCATATAAAACCTTATTCTACGCCCTTGTCGGCAACGCGTCTACCTATTAAGAAGTATCAGAATTTTGTTGTCTAAAAAAACGCTAAGGAAACAATGGTCAAGTTCAATTTGCTTACAGTAGTAATTGTCATCAGCACATATAACTTCTTTTTGTTCACACGTCAATCTAACACTATATATCTTTGTGGATCAAGTGACAACGTTTATAAGCACAGTTTTGCTCTTACGGCCAGTCTACACGACCGGCTACTGCTGTACATGTAACATGTACGATTTAGCAATACCAGAAACCCACTCAGATAACTTATTAATGCTAATATTTTTGCAGTAAAAAAAATGAAATTTCATTTTAGTCAGTGTAACACACAGATCCTACTGAGTACAGAGTATTTAGTATACTTAAACCATGTCCTCGGAAACACGCATGCTTACGTGTACGCTAAGCACCCTGTTCTCCGTCTACTGTAGTATTCAAATATCAATAACAACATGCATTATGAAAAAGTATTTAATATTTAAACGATGCCGCCTTCGGACTTTGTGCAAATCCCCATATGTAAACTGGGAAACACATGCATTTATTGATGTCAACTACACATTCTAGTTTTAACCAATTGAAGCCACCTTCGCTGCGCTCGGCAGCCAGTAGAAATATTTAAATTATTTTATCCAGTGATTTGTCCGGAAAAGCGTGACAGGCACGACAATTTAGTGTGACGGACAGACAGGTTGCTGCAGTAGATGTTTAAGATTAGGCCTATTACCTACCATTGGTAAAAATAAAAATTGGCTTTGCAAGGTGCAACATGTGCCATACAATATTGGAGACGTCTTCAGCAGCAAATGTAGAGGAGAATGCAGTACACATATGGTACAGTATGGCTCGTGACTAAACCCTTGCAGCGAGATTTGAGCTTAGTCACGTTATCCCCCTGTGTGACTCAACTTTACCGGAGCTCACACTTCGAAGAGTAACCATTATCCTCTCAGTTTTCAAACACCCACGTTCCCCTCAAGATGGCAAGCAGTTCTCTCTACCCTCCAAACATCCAAATTCTGAGTGATACTGTCATCAGCTCCGTGAGACAACACCAGAAGCGAGAGACGAAGGTGTTCAGTGCCCAAGAAATTTATGACCAAACTCTCGACGCACCGCGACTGTCGCGCTGATGGCTAGCACAATGGCCCAGGGCACCGAATCAACCAGTGAAGCTGCTAGTCACGACCAAGAAAACACACCAAACTCAGATCTCGATGACTATCGACGTCTTCTGCAGCACCGCCAAAGTCGACGAGACATTCAACGACGCTATCGAGCGAAGCTACACGCGCGTTCCGTCTCCTTCGAGAGAAACGTCGAGCGATTGAAGGACGAGGTGGCTCGTCTAGACGAGGAGTACAGACGTCTGACTGCCAACTCGTTGTCGTCCACTACCCCCTGGAACCTCATGGCCGAGTACTTTTTCCTCTTCCGCCACGGTCTTAGTTCGTCTTCGACAGCTGCTGCGCCAGAACCAGCTCATTCAAGAAAGCAGCTTTTGTTTCTCCAAGCAACCATGACGCCGGAAGTCATGGTCAAGAATGGGTCGGGCATTGACGCAATGCTGGAGATCTGGCGATCAATCTCCATGCCTTGCATGTGCGTCTCGAGCATCTGGAAAATGGTCCGGGAGGGTCCTTTATTGCGACGACCAAGTGCTATTTCACCATCACGCGGTCGATGCTTTTGCAAGAGTTCCCACATGTCGTTATGAATAGCGACGAAGGCCGCCCTCTTCTTGTGGTGGAGAAAATTTTGGGCCAACAGATTGTGCTGCCAAGTGAAGTACGCTTTGACTGGGACGAATCGACAGGTCGTATGACTGCAGTAACTGGCAGATACTTCAAGGCGGAAATGCTGATGCCGCTACTAAAGATCTTGAGCAACTTGGAAGATGTGGCTCTCGTCCTCGGCTAAGATACTCGAACCCCATTTAAGTAGCCTAAACGTTTGGTGCAGTTTTGCTTGAACGATGAACAGTCTTTCAAAACAAATAACGTTTTTTTAGCGTTTTAATTCAACCTGAAGACGCTTAAAAAACTGTACAGTACGAATCGAAGACGCTCGAGTTTGATTAACAAGGGCGTCGAGTTGCGGGTGTCCATGCAATTATCGCTTAACGAAACGCGAAGGTCTATCGAACGATCAATCGTATGCAATGTATATGATTCCGAAGCACACGACTGCGGTAATAGGCGACACTGTAGCGAACACGGACACTGCAGCAACCGAATCGGACGAGATTGGCAGTGAACAAGACGAGCTCGCTGATGCTGAGGCCATCGAACAAACCTTATGGGCGCTGCTTTGGCGCCAATACATGTACACACGCTTTCTGGCAGCTACCGAGCCATTTCTTTTCTAGAAACTTAAGAGGTAGGTATGCCATGTCAATTTTTTTTAAACTGTAATCACATTATTCATTTTCAACCACCGATCGGAGAAGGAATAGCATAGCAATTGCTTTGGTGCCTTCATGTTCTTCGTGGATGCGAAAACCGTGTGCTTGTAGTAGCGGCATCGAGCTCAAGACGTTTTCTGGGCCTTTGCTCGAAGAATGTCCATACGGCCTCTTGCTGTTGAGGAACCCTGGGCTAATTCCGAAGTATTTTTGGTCAAGGCCCAAGCTGCCAGTCCACGTTTCAAAGGCTACCATGCATGTGAAACAGTTGGCGGTGACCCGGGCTTTCACAACGACCCGGACATCAACTATACTGTCGTAATGCATATGTATTATTTGAGTGTTTGTAAACTATATTACTCAAGGCCATCTACAGGATTTAACGTGGTTGAGGCGGTCGGATCCACGTCTGTCGCACCCACGCGGCCACTAATGTCCAAGTCCTTCATCCAAATGTGGTCGCTGTAGTATTCGGACGTGCTGTCGAACTCACGTTGAGAACGGGCTGTTCGTAGCTGTCTTGCTGCTACTAAATCGCGTTGCAATCGTTTGTGTTAGCCGTGTGGCCCGGTACTGTCTGGCTGGGGCCACCTGTACCGCCAAATTGGCGGCGCCAATACGGCGGTCTACATTTTGGTGTGGGTCGCTCATTGAGCAAAGGTGAGCGCTCTGTATAGCGTGCTGTATGTCTTGAAAAAGTCGTCCTACACTTCAGATGCAACCCCTGATAAAAATAATTAATCCAACAGGTCCGCCAACTGTTTCATGTATCGTCATTAATAGGTACAGT